GATGAGGCATGTGTGGACTCCGAAGAGACTGTGAGGCCACGGCTGCTGCCCTCACTAGGGCTGAGGTCCCACAGCGGAGACGTAGGCCCACGCTATTTTGAAATGATCTCTCAGGGTGTGTTCGGTCAATAAGGAGCTGCCTCCCTGCCAGACCCCGTGCTCGCGCTCGGTGACAAGCGGGGAGAGGGGCCTCGGGGAGTGCAAAGCCTAGCCTTCTTAGAAAGGACAGCCGCCCAGTTCATGAGGGGCGCCTGAGCTGCAGCTTCTGCCCGGGGTGGGACCAAAGTGGGGCAGGAGAGGCAGGCCAGGTGGACGTGGGCACTGGGCCCACTGTGCATGGGGGGCATCAGGGTGCTTGCGGGGGTGCTCGGGCCCCGGGGGGCTCAGGTCACCTCCCTGATGTGACTCTCCTGTTTTCTTTTTAACTCTTGGTACGGCGTGTGGGCGTGCACACAGGAGTGGGAGGGCAGCACCGTGGCAGGCTCTGGTCACGCTGCCAGCCCTCCGTCCTGCAGCCATGGGCTCCAGGGCACTCCCACACGTGTATCGTGTTTCAGCCCGACCCAGCCAGAGAGGCAGACCGCAGCCTCCGGGCTCCGAGTGGGTCTGGCTCTCCCCGAGCAGCATGTGACCATTACCGTGGTGACACCAAGCAGGTCTCCTGGCAGGACTGTCAGGCCTCTGAGCCGAGGACAGAGATTCTGACTCGAGAGCTCAGTAAGGACTGCGTTTCCCGACCTGAGACCCCCACCTGCGCAGGAACACCAGCCTCACCTAAACCACCGGCCCTAGGCCGACTCACAAAATCAGAGTTCCTAAAGGAATACGACGTAGCCCTTAAAAACAGCGTGTGGGCAGGCAGGCGGCATGGTGCTTGGAGTGCTGGCTCTCCTCTGGCCAGCTGCTCCGTTCAAGTCCAGGATCCAGTGGCTTGAAAATCACGCAGGTGCGTAGGTGAGCGAGACGATGGAGGAGCAGGGATTGCGGTGCGGCCTTCCCCCGGGGTCATTTCTCACTTTCTCTGTCTCTCTCTGGTGAGCACATGTACCCAATAGCAAAACTAAAACAAAGAAAACCTTCTGTGGACCAGCAGGTGGCACGGAGGTTAAGGAGGCTGGATCCTACATGGCCAACTGTGTGGTTCAAGTCCTGGATCCAGAGGCTTGAAAAACATACGGGGGACCAGCAGTTAGTGTAGTGGCGATGTTGCTGGACTCCCATGTAGTCAACCACGGTTTGAGTCCCGGACCCGGTGGCTTAAACTCATGCTGGGCGCGTGCGCGTGTGTGCCCAAGATCCCGAGAGGAGAATGGAGGAGAAGGGATTGCAGTGTGGCCATCTCCCCTGGGGGGTGACTTCTCACTTTCTGTCTCTCTGTCTCTGTCTTTCTGGCGAGCGCACGCGCCCTATAGCTAAAACCTCTTAAAAAAAAAAAACCCCAAAAAAAAACCATACAGGGCACGGGCACGTGCCTAAAGTCCTGAGAAGAAAGTAGAGAAGGGGTGCGGCAAGACCACCTCTCAGAGGGTAACTCTCCCTTTCCGTCTCTCCCTCTCTGCCTCTCCCTGGCGAGTGCATGCGCCCTATAACAAACTTTTAAAAAGCAAGTCTGTGCCAAGTGTACAGGCTTGCGACATAATGGTAGGTGAGAAAGGAGCAAGATACAGAGGGACCAGAAGTTGGCATAATGGCTATGTCGCTGGACTCCCATGTGGTCGACTGCAGTTCGAGTCCTGGGCCCTGTGGCTTAAACTCACGCTGGGCGCGTGTGCGTGCGTGCCCAAGATCCCGAGAGAATAGAGGAGAAGGGATTGTGGCTGTTTTTTTTTGGTGGGCCAAGCCGCCCATAAAAAAAAAACCCTCAAAAAAAAAAAAAAAAAAAAAAGGAGCAAGATCCAGTCCTTAGAGATGACAAACCGCTGACTAGGTTGAAAGGCAGTGACGGGGAGCCACGCCCACAGCATTACGGTGACTTTCCGAGAGCGAGGTTGCTTTTATTTCCCTTTTGTGATTCTGTAAATTGGAGACCTTTCTGGTGAGCACTCTGTGATGGACAACCCTCTGCTTCATGTCTCCAGAATCACCCCCAAGCCACTTTATGGTTTCTGTCCAGACCAGGACACTCTTCTGAGTGAAACGGTGTTCCGCGCCAGCATCGGAAACCAGGACTTTGCCCACACACCAGGACCTTGTCATCCGACCCAAACCCGTCCCAGTAGCACCTCTGCCTCCTCTTTACCTCCTCCCTGTGGGTTCTGTGGCCTGAGCTGGCAAAGCCATTTGGGGGAGCTGTCCTCTGCTCCTGGCTGCCTGGCAGGACGTTAGTGGACCACTGCTGTGCCCATGAAGGGTGGTAAGGTAACCTTTGTCTAAAGCAGGGGTGCTGCGGAAATGTTCCTCTTCCCGATAGGAAAGGCTGAGTCTGTGCCACCTTACGATATGTAAGGCACTGGTGGGACCGCAGCACAGGGGACCCTGACAAAGGACAGGTGGCAGTTGTCACCCTGAAACGGAGAGTGCAGAGAGGTAGCTCGGTTCATCTTGCAGGGCCCTCTCACCCTCCTGGCGACTCGGTAAGGGGGCACACCGGCCCAGCTGCAGCAGTGGGCACTGGGCACTACTGAGGCCACACGGGAGTCCAGGTTCCATTTCCAGCCCAGACCGGAAAGCCAGGAGTGGTGGTGGGCACCTGTAATCCCAGCTACTAGGGAGGCCGAGCAGGATCATGACAGTGAGAGGCTGTCTGACAAAGCACACACACATGCACACACGCACACATGTGCACACGCACATGCGGCATGAGAGCATGCAGAGAACAATGCGCCGAGGGGCTCTGTCGGAGGCAGTAAGGTAGTTGTTTATTTCATTGAATTCTATAGCTCACTGAAAAGGCACTGCACTTAACTGCCGTTCTATCAGTGAAGGGACTGGGCCTCAGGGATTTGAGGTGACTTGCTTCAGAAGCCTAGGCTGCCTGGGGGGTGGCCTGGACCATTGCTGGAAGAAGCTGGCCTTGCTAATCTCAGCCCAGCAGAGAATAAGCATGTTCTTAGGACTGATACACAGCTGGCTGGCTAGGTAAGTGGTTGGGGAGATGACTGGGATGGACAGATGAGTGGATGAGTGGGTGGATGGGTATATGGCTGGCTGGACGGTGGGTGAGTGGATAGATAGATGGGTGGATGGATGGATGAATAAATGGATGGACGTGTGGGTGGGTGGCTGGATAATGAATGGATAAACAGGTGGGTGGGTGGACAGATGGATGAATAGGTAGATGGGTGGGTGGATGGATAGGAGGATGGATGGATGGACAGATAAGTGGGTGGGTGGGTAGATGGCTAGGTGAATGGGTGGGTGGGTGCATGGGTAGATGGGTGGATTGGTGAGTGGATGAATGGATGGATAGATGGATGGATGGGTGGATAAGTGGGTGGATGTACAGGTGGATGAGTGGGTGGGTGGAAGGGTGGATGGGTGGATGGATGGATAGATGGATGGGTGGGTGGATGGATGGATAGATGGATGAGTGGATGGATGAGTGGGTGGATAGATGGATGGGTGGGTAGGCGGGTGGATGGATGGGTGGGTGGATTGATAGGTGGATGGGTGGATGGTGGGTAGGTGGGTGAATGGGTGAATGGACAGATGAGTGGATGGGTAGATGGATGAGTGGGTGGGCAGGTAGATGGATGAGTGGGTGGGCAGGAAGATGGATGAGTGGGAGGGTAGATGGATGGGTGGATGGATGGATGGATGAGTGGGTGGATGGATGGATGGATGGGTAGAAGGGTGTATGGGTAGATAGATGGGTGGATTTGCGGATGGGTGGGCGGGCGAGTGGATGGGTGGGGGGGTGGGGGGGGGGGGGGCTGGGGGGA